GAAACGCCGGACACCTCAGCTTATGAGACCCTACCGGGGGATGAAACCCATTGTAGCCCTACACTCATAAACACCTCCCAGCCACGATGAGGCGGCAAACCGTTGGAAGGCATTGTCTCTATATGACGGGGCAATATTTTACGTGCACAAGTAACCATACTTTTGTATATATGTGCAGATGATTCTTGAGTAGAAAAAGTGTTGCACTCGTTCTGTCGTTGGTACGTTGAAAACCACTGGGTCAAGAGCACAAAAAACACATGGCTTGCGCGCGCCTTTCTGACAACGATTTACAGTAGGGTGAATGATCGGTGAGTGTTATCGACAGTTCTCAAAATGGTGATGCTTGCAGCATCCCATATCAGACCAATACGTGAGGAAATGAAAGGAGGAACTAGCATCCTATGTCGATGTTCTGGAATCAAGACTCTCCCGTGCCAGATCGAATCACGATTACTCTTCCGTTTTGCAAAAATAGGTATAAAAATAGACAAATGTAGACAGACAAACATAGATATCTACTTACTACTATTTATATCCAAACTATCATATGCATTTCCTACCTCAAACCACAAATGGCGAACTATATTTAGACTGACCTGAGAGGAAAACGTTGCGAATGACTGTGACAATTGGGAGCCGGCGATAACCTTTGGTTGTTTGCTGAAGCTACGAAAAATAAGCATTAAAATTGGAACTACAGTGTTCGCATGGCGTAAATCCAAAAGATTTCCCTAAAAGAAAACACTGTTTGTACGATGTACTTTATTACAAGCGAATTAAAAGACTTAATATTTCAATCTTGACCATAGTAAATAACGGTTCCGAGGTTCATCAGTGGGAAAAATTTCAACACTACTTGTGATAGTCATCGTTTTACGTTATCAACACTGGAAAGACATTCTTACTTTAACGCTGTGTAACAATCGTTCCCTTAGTTGCGACCTATTGTTAATTATAGGCATGAAGCACCTGAAAAATTTCACGTCGGGCTCAAAATGTTTGCAAAAGATGCTTTGGAAATAGTTTATAAAGATCGAGGAATCATGAAACACTCAAGGACGAAATTCAATGTTCTCTTGATGAGCAAACACCGGGTTATTTTTTTATTCTTTGTTTATAAAGAAGTTGACGTTTCGGCGGATTTCGTCTTTGTCGGAGCTGTAAAGGTAAGNCGGGTTATTTTTTTATTCTTTGTTTATAAAGAAGTTGACGTTTCGGCGGATTTCGTCTTTGTCGGAGCTGTAAAGGTAAGTTCACTGCAATCTACCCAGCCAAACATCTCCACAACCAAATAGAGAAGATGCTAACCCAAGATTTCAGTCGCATTAAAAACGATACATTAAAACCACTGAATGCAATTGCTTTCAATGAGATTGAAATCTTGGTTTCGTGTTGCTTCTGTTTTGGTAATGGATATGAATGGCTGGGAACATTGCAGTCGACTTGAGCCTTCCAAGCCCTGAGGAAGGTGAAATCCGGGGAGACGTCAGCTTTTCCGTCAACAACGAAATGAAACAACACCTTATACTTGCTAAACAAAAATGCTAAGAACTGTTCGATGAATCCCGAGGTTAACAGAAAGTCGGTCATGAGATCTACTCAAGGACATAGTCTGATCAACACAATCGTAACATTACTTGCATATTCTAACTTACCGTACAAGTGACACGGAAATGTCGCGACGAATATAACATATATTTTTGAACAAAGTTTCCAATTCACGCCAGTTATTCAAAACATCTAATGTGCACTGACGGACAATGTCCACAAGCATGTCTGCAAGAATGACTACACGATTACATTATGCAAAAAAGACCGAACACTAGGTACACGTGGCCACTTACCCACGCAAATAAACGAAACACTAGTTGAGGAGGTAGTCACTAATTCGATGATCATCGCCAGGTTGGCGCCAAGCTCCTTTCTTCTCGATATAACTAGCTGAAACAAATCCACACCAATTATTCAAAACAACTAATGAGCACTGACAGACAATGTCCACGAGCATGTCTATACAAATGACTACACGATTACGCACACTACCTTTCTGCTACCATAACTTATAGAGTTTAGTTGGCCTTTACCTTTACAAGTACTTTACTAGCGAAAAGCCAAATTGGATAACCATCAGCGACACGTCCATCTACAATAGTAATCTCGATAGTGGACGGTAATTTCAATAACGACTGCAGCAGCAGAACTGTCGGATCGGATAACAGATCAAATGCTTCGACGTCTTCCCCTAGTCGCTTCACCAAACAAGTCACCTTAATCGATCAAACTGTAGGAATTCAAATTCCTGATTATTAACGCCATCCTAACTCAGGTTTCTCCGAAATTCTTCGGCGAAAAGTAATAGAATGCTACCAAATACTTCGTTCTTGCTTTCCAGAATAAGCGTAAAAGGATAAAAATCGCACAGAAGTGCCCTCGCTTCGAACACGGATCATAGAAGGTCACCCAGTGTACTAAGTAAACGCAGTATGTGTCAGATAACGCAAATAGAAATCACTTCAAAAAGCACATGCAGAGTTTCTTCGCGCTCATCTAAAACAAAATGAAAAACCTGGTCCTCAACGATGTCCACCACTTCACCAAGGCCACTGTTTTCAATCCAGCCGAACTCATGAACATTTTCTCGGAAAGTCCACAATTTCTGGAACGTCTTCGTCAGTTCCAGTAGCATCGAAGTCTGAAAAATTGCACGCAGAGATGATGGTAAAACAGCAACGAATGAATAACACTGTTTGACGAAATCTCAAAAGTTAGATGCGGCGCCTACCTTATATCTATCAATTTTGCAAAGAGCGAACGCCAACAGAAACCCAAATTCGCTGCACATTAACAACCCAGGTTCACTCTAGAAATTCAACTATTAGTTCTAAATATCAAAATTGCGGGATGTACTAAGGCAAAGAGCAAATTTTACAACATCATTAACAAACAATAGTAGGAACAATGTAATATTTATTTCCACTGGTCCTCTTTCACAAGTAATGTGCTGATCCCAGCACTTCATTCTTTCGATTCGCTCCCTTATATCCACCAACACATGAAGGTCTTTGAACTTATAATGTGGGTTCGGCCGCTGTTTGAGGCTTTTCATTGGTTATGAGTGCCGTAAAGTGCTGAATGAGTCGATTCTTCCTAAGGTCGTGAGATAGCCATGTTTGAAGCAGACCTACGTGGATTAGTTGTTGTGAACTTTTATGAGAAAGGTCTGGTGCCGATTTTCCAGCTTCGAAAGGTTGAAAAACATGGTGAACCACTGGGTGGGTGGAAACAGCACCGCTCTCGAGGTGAACGACACCACCCCCCTCTACCCGTAACTAGCACTAGTAATAATAATATTAGTAATAGTGTTAATGTCATACCTTGTACAGATTAACACACGTTTTTCCTATATTTCGATGATCCCGCGTCACTTTCACCATCTCATGGACACATGACATCAAGCCGACAGCGGGTTCAACAGCGCGTTTCTTGGGCCAAGCCAAAACCACCCCTCTTAGCACGCGCAACAACCTGTTAAAACCTCATGTTGGAGTCAGTGCACAAAAACCACACAGCCTCGATATAACAGCTTGTAAAAGCTGAAATCATCATTTGGAAATAGCCACAGTAATAAAACTAGACATTTTTAGTTTCTACCATGAAACAATTAAAAGCATAGAACGCCCATAGTTGACAAGATGTTTAAGATACTGAGATTGTCGATTTAAGTAACGAATTTCTTAACATCAGCAAACCAACCTAACCAGAGACAACGGCAAGCTCGACAAAGTAATAAAAAATTAGAGTTTGAGCAATTCCTCCCTCCTACTACATTATCACGAAGGTCTTTCACATGGGGAATCCCTAGCCGATCAGTCCCTAGGCCACGTGGCGCGTCATCACATGACCAATAGTGGGTTAATCGCGGATCAAAAGTGACCGTATGTGTTTCCCTGAGACGCAGGTGGATCTAGGGGATGGACTGTCTTTTCTAAGGCCCCGATTTGGCACATACTTTCTGTATTTGGTAGGCGTATTCATGAATGCCTCTGTGGGTGCGTTCTCGCTTATGCGGATTGTATTCTACGAGTTAATTTAACCAAAAGCCTGCAATCAGGTGACATGGACGTATATGGGAGGCGGTTAGAAGCGGCCTCCAGCAAGTAAGCTCCATGTCCACTCTAGAAGAGACTGGCAACCTACGCGTGAGTATACCTAGCCTCCACATTCAGAGCCCACCAAGCTATACGTAAGTATCAAAATGCTGAACACAGTAAAAGAAACAAGTCTCATTCCCTTGATCTCGAAAGACACCCAATTCGGCAGCATTGGGTAGGCCGAGTACGGAAAGGCTGCTGAAATCCCACGGACAATGAAAGCTGCCTGGATGGCAATGAACTAAGGTGACGATCTGCACCTAGCTTGTCGATGAATATCGATTCATTCGAACAACTTACAACACGAGTCGGACGTTTACGATTAAAAAGATGCGGATCAATACCGGTTTGACAATTTTCGTCGTTTACGCGCTGATATCAAGCTACGACGAAGAAGTCGAAGCGTTCTCTATGGACTTGGACAAGCTCTACAGAGAAGACCATACATTCTTCAAATGTCATCATTGGAGATTTCAACGCCAAGATTGAACCAAGAAGAACATCTGAAGAAGGTCACATTGAGACCCACGGAATGGAATGAAGCGGCTATCTGAGTTTATCATGGCGACCAAGACTATCCATAGTAACTTGCAATTCCTGAAGGCCCACCCTCAACGCTGTACGTGGGAATCTCGCAATGGAGAGTGACATGACACAATAGACCACATCATAATAAATAGAAGGTTTCGGCTCATTCAACATCTTCACATTAGCGCTATGAAAGGTGGGAGTTCGAAAGTCACCAAGAGACATCTGTCTCCAGAAACACTCCAGCTGATATGACAGTGTGGAATCGCACGAGCTGCAGGCAACCGCGAACTATTGTACGAACTTGCAAAACAATGCGGAGAAGTGATAAAAGAAGATCTTAAAGAAAGAAGGGCAGCAATAATGGTCGAAGATGCAGAGGCTGGGAAAACCATTCGTAAGGACTACCGAAGCCTCACCAATTACAGGACCAAGGTGGTTGCGCTCCGACGCTCAGAGGAAACAGTTACAGCGTCTAGAAAGGCAATAGAGAAAATCATTCACGATTATTACTCGAGCCTATTCAATTGCCACACACTCCTGCCCTCATATAAAATTAAGGAGGATGGATATGTCGTACCACCGGCTCTCGCTTCCAAAATCCGACATGCTATTTCGTCGCTGAAAAATCGAACAGCACCAGGTCCAGACAAGATGGGATCTCAACACTTGAGCAACATTCGGCCCATCCTCGTAAACACACTGGCTCGGCTCTTAACACGTTGTCTGTCTGAACGCAAGGTCCCTACTCAGTGGAAGACCAGGAAGATCGTGTTATTGTTCAAGAAGGGTACGATATCGGTAACTATCGCCCAATCTGCTTGCTGTCTGTCGTCTACAAACTTTTCACTCGTGTCATTCCAAACACGATTGACAGAACGCTAGACGAAGGACATCCATGTGAGCAAGCAGGTTTTTGAAAAGGATTTAGTACGATAGGCCACATCAACACAGTAACACGGCTCATTGAAGCATCTCGAGGGTACAAAAGACCGCTTTGTCTCACTTTCAACGATTTACAGAAGGCCTCTGATTCAGTTGAGACAGAAGCAGTCTAAGCCCTTGATAGTCAAGGATTCCCTACTCAGTACATAAAGATTCTTCGTGATGTGTAAGAAATTTCACAACGAAGGTACCACTATTCTACAACGATAATAACGTTGACGTCAAAAGAGGAGCTAGGCAGGGCGTTACCATCTCGCTAAAATTGTTTACCGCCATCCTCCAGAACGTCATGCGAACATTGGAAAGCGGAGCGTATGCTTGACGACTTTGATAAAGCCTGCGGAGTGATTGGTTTTCGACTAAATCTCACAAAAACGATGTTAATGAGGAAACGAAAGGTTTCGTATGTCCCATTCACGCTCAACGGAACGAATATCTCCGAATGCTCCAGTTATGTCTATCTTAGACGGGAAATTAACATAATGAAGGAGTTAGCCCCAGAGTGGAGCAGAATGAAACGAGCTGCTTGAGAGGCTTTCTAGAGCATCGAGGATGTGGTGAGGAGAACAAAGAACTCCCAACTCCGTGCGCTTTTCAACTCAACGTTTCTTCTTGCGTTAACGTATTCAAAAACCTGGTTACTGCGCAAGCACGTAAGAAGAAAAATCACTTAGCGTTATCGAAAGCGCAGTAGAAAGAACGATGCTAAGAGTATCCCGTGTAACGCAGGGAAGAGAAGAGATCCGAAGCTCCGGCCTGCGTCAACGATCAAAAATCAAAGATGCTGTCCTGCACACCAAACAGTCGATGATAAGGTGTGCCAGACATGTAAACCGTATGAATGACATCTGATGGAGAAGAGCCGTTAGTATCTGGTTTCCTGGGAATGTCAAAGGCACTGCAGGAGGACCACCGGCCCCATGGGTCAGGGTTTTTCTTGAAAAGTTTAGAAAAAGGATATGATGCTCAACGAGTCCTTAGAGCGAGCAAAAACCAATGAGCTACTCTTGCATGTGAAAGGAAAAAATGGAAGATTTATTGGTGCGCGCTCGAGTCACTCGACAATCAACGGAACTACAGGTGATACAGGTAATAGTTCATTACCAAGTTAGAAACAAAGACGTGCATATGATGGGAATATCAACAGTTTACTAATTAAAAGCACCTTTTGTTGTCAAGAACTCGAAGCAAATTGACGCATTTTGATGTCACTGTTGGACGTTGCTCAACATCTAGGAGATCCTCTAGAGCACGTTCATCCAGATACTTCGCTATCATATCGTCCATCGATAATCTTCTAAACAATACAGGCTTAGTTACAAAAGAACTTATCAGTACATACACTTACAGTTACATTCCTACAACAGTCACTCAAGCAGTGAAAGAGTTCGACATTTCCACTCAGGAGCTCAATCAAAACGACGCAGCTAAATGGCCTATTCGTGACTACGTGCTCATGAATGTAACTAAAACAAAGGGTGATATAGAAATAGGAAAAAAAGGAACTGTTCCTGTTTCATAAACCATAGAAGCCAGCTACATGGCGTACATATAATACCAGTGTAGTCAAACTGTACCCGCTCGTACTACGTGATGAATAACGGGGAAACATGTGATGACGTATTACACACCGTCGCTAAAGGAGAAACGGTAAGTCCTGAGGGATGCGTCATGTATTTGACATCACAAGGCATCGTTGGAGGTGACTGAATGCATATCTGTTCTTTACGATAACTCGCCGTGACCTACCGATATATCGAGCCAGTGCTGCAATCATCCCAGACAAGTTTGGTACCAATTTACCGAACCCGGAGGGGTGAAGGGCTTGATGCGCCAGAGGCGCGCGAATCGTTCCCATGTGTATTGCAGGGCAACAAGAACCACTAGGCCACAAGCACCCTTCTTCATTAACTGTGAATAAACTCACTGCACTATCGTCACCACGGCCCCAAACGATTCAAAAGTAGTAGTTTGTTTCATCCATTCGTAGACCAGATTACGCACAAACGTCGCACTGGTCACAATGTTATCGTTCTTTACAATCTGCAAAAACTCGGAGGTAAAACTAGTAGACTATGATTTAAAAAAAGTGACGACAAAATGAAACTCTTATGTACATACTTCCTCATTCTTTAGAAGCTGCTTTAGTAAAACAAGTGAGCAATCGGTCCATCTGAAATTTGATGTACTATTCTATAAAGGGTGGTAACTAATATAGCAAAGAACATGGGGCTATCGAAAACCTTTCGCGCCTTTTTTAAAGGAACTCTCAAATTCGCAAGCATCTGTTCAGACTATTAAACTCAGCCTTAACGTCGATCACAACCAAATGCTCTCCGTATGATAAAAAACGAAGAAGAAAGGTAATGCCTTCGCAAGTGTTTACTGCCACGATGTTGAGAAGAGGTGTGTCTGCTACCAGTATACGATGTCAAGCAGGATTCTTACCCAGGTAGGTTAGTCAAGACAGAGGAGTCTGATTTTTTTATCTCGAAACCTAGCAAAAAATGAATCTGTGCCAGTTATCAGTACTAGTACCAGAAAAATTTGCTCCAAATTAGGATTCTTCCGTCTTCTAATTGATTCAAAAGTGCAGGCGATTACCTACTGTAATAACCTGGGAGTGTCTTAGTAGTCTATTTCGGGATTCCAGCAAAAGTTTGCTCAACTAGTAGACTATAAGCAAAACCGAGACCTTTCTCGAGCGCCGAATTATTCTAGGTTGAGACGGGTTGTAATGTAATTTGTGCAAGTGCGTATTTTATATCTACAGAGTAATACTTATATTGTAAGCGCTTAAATGCTTATAGAGCAACGCAACCCCATTCAACACGGTAATTTGCGAGTGGGATGGGCCCATTCTAAAACTGAATAAAAAACGGACACACAGATGATAAGAAACCCAGGCGCAGGTTCTCACGTCATAAGAAATCTTAGACATTAAGCTTTCAACACTGAAAAAGACTCACCGATTCGAAAGACTGGGGACTGCTAAACTTCCACTATGCGTTTCTAACAACGGTAGAATTTGTTCACTGTCACAAAGTTGTATCTGAAACTGGCCATGTTCCAACAATTGATCGAAGTCTTGGTCAGTAAACGCCGATTTAAACGCAAAAACCTGCTTGACAAACTCGTCATATAGAGTTGACACATATAGACAAATGACTGGTTTTGTGCTGAGCACCTCAAGTGCTAGACGAAGACCTGCTATCCGACATGATACACGATCTTCTTCATCAAGAAGAGACGTCAGCTGACACCTGATAAAGGATACTTCCATAATACCCTATCACATGCTTCATCCTTTGATTACAGTGATGCTAACAGCTAAATCTATAAATAAATTAACATTGAAATAATCAATTGTGCCCGATTACTGAAAAAAACAGGCAAATTCACCCATTCAGTATTGGCTATCTATAGAAATACCTGTGAAAAAATCTACTAAGATAATTCGATGACCCGTCTTCACATCATGTGCAGGCCCCAACTTTTCCATTCTAATGTGTCGTTTTTTACCATTCATTTACAGAGGTGTTCGACTTCCTATGCAGACTCGGACAGAGCTTTACAAACTGTCATACTCTCTCTTCAGAGACATTTTAAACCTTGGTTGAGCTAGTTCTACCCGGGATCCTGAGGTAGCCATGCAAAGGTGTTCATAAGTTATCAACTCAATCAGTGGTCGAAGTAAAATCAGCTATGATGCATATGAATCCGACTTTTACGGCTTATGGTTTTAAGATCACAGGATAAATGAACGAGTGCACGCGATGTGAAGACAGGCCATCCTAATATATACCTAAGTATTACTGTAATGCTTACCATGAACTATAAAAATCCGTGAGCTTTGCTGCTTTATCCTTACGGACCGTTGATCGAAGAAAATTAAACACTCGACCCTATAAACTGAATAGTACGGTGGACAAAAATAAGAAATAACAGAATTATAACAAAGATATTAAGGGAATAAGTCTAAGGATGACATACTCGACGACGTTCGTCCGCAATCTGTCGCACGACAACCATGATACTAGCGACAAATGTCTCTTCTTGTCCACTTTTTCGTTTCGATTCCAACTAAACATGTAGTTACAGCTGTAAACTGGAAGCCGATGACAAAGTACAGCGGAGACAACATTTGAACTAAACAGAAAACACTGGATCTCCAAGAAAACGCTTCAACAATGTGGATAAAAAACGATGAAGCTCTCGGCGGTGACCAATCTTTAAGGGATGTGCCAGGCATTCGATTTCGTTAAGCATCGTTGAAAGCGACCGAATGCATATCTGGCCTTTACAATGACTCGTGGTGGCCTAGGATGTATGAAACCGGTGCTGTTATCCTCCCAGACAAATGTGGTACCAATTTGATGATCCCAGAGGGATGGAGGGCTTGGTGAGCACGGGGCGCCGGGATCAATCTCACGTGTATTGTAGGGCGCCTTTGACCACCGCGCTACACGCGCCCTTCACAATATGGATAAGGGACAGAATTAAAGAATGAAGGATAAAACTACTGGTTGTATGATAAAACTGGTGAGCAGTTTTAATGAAATATCTCTTCACATTCATGTTGCATTTACAAAGGTCTCGAAAGAGATGGCTGAACTGAGTTACAAGTAGTGACTGGTTTGACGGCTGCTCTCACTCACTTACAGTGCGGTAAACATTCCAAATGTTTTAAACAAAACGTGTTTTTGCACGTAATGCAATTATTTGGCGATAAGTAGATAGATAGGGCTGCCTAAGTCATTCCCGTTGACGGATGATTGCTAATTGCATTGGCAGATCGAAAAACAGCCGATAGAAATGCGAAACGAAGGAGATCCATGGTGTGGCCGTGAATGAGTTAGCCCGCAGAAGAGGTAATAGCGCGCTCGTTCCTACCGCACAGACTTGCGCACCCGAGTTCTGCAAATATCTTAGTACCATTTTGATTGTATCACACATCCTGGCTTGAGGAGCTGTAATAAACAGTAAATAAAAAGTTAACATGCTACAATGATTTCTTTAGTTCACTAGCTACATTTTTACTAGGGCAGGGTAACTTTTTCGTGTGTTCACCGACATCTTTTTAAAGATATTTAAGGCGTTCAAATTTTTCAATGCACTGAAAAGATTAACGGAAACTAAAAAATAACTCTACAACTATTATAGCTGCTTACCTTTTTTCCATGTTCAATGAATTCATCCACGAAGATATCAATGCTAGCCTAAAAAATCACATTTTCATAAACTAGATGAAACGAATCCTACATTAGTTTTAAGGATTCTTCCAAAAAGGTTTCAGTAGTTGTAGGAAGCTCGATATTTCCACGTTGAATAGTCAACACAGACGACGCTCCAGCAGACTTTTGAACTAAATGTGGCTACCTGGTGGCCAGAAACGTTAAAAGAAGGGCACTATACCAAATTTGTGATAGCATTCATCCCACCTACTGATTACCAGAGACTCAGCAATCGGCTCTGATGCGCAATAGAAAGAAATTAAGCTCAGTAGTGCCAGATTTGGTTACTTGAAGATAAAGGCGACAAAAACGGGTGACTACCACCGATCTGACGCTACCACGCTCTCACCATCGTGCTTCGAGCCAATATGTAGAACGAAACCGGAAAGATGTTAAATGCTTAAAAGATCAAGAATCTCACAAACAGCCACTAATACACTCCCACTGTTCCATTAGCTGAAGGAGTAACAACGTCTATGATTTGTACGACGAATGATAAACATTGGCCTTAACCCCGAATCTATGATCGTCACTTCATTATCAGTATTACAGACCATTAAGCCGGCCTCAATCATGAACCACACCTACCTGATTTCCACTGTTCTGGGTTCCTAGTGCGTTCCGGTGGAAAGCTGAGATAAAGATGAACATTGAGAGGGTCGATTCTGCATAATCTTATTTGCTTAAAAGCTTGGATCCAGTTCTAGTAGTCTAACAACGCCACTGAAACACACATCTGTAATGGATCAATTAAAGAGTGCACCGTCCAAATACTGGTATGCTAACAGCAGCTCAACATAAAAACTGGTTTGGAGCTTTGTAACCGATTTTTTTACACAATTTTGAAACCTAAGCGCAAATGTCTACACTGGTTATGGAACACGAAGTCACGGTACCACACAGTGCCTTAACATAGAAATGTACTTTATCCAAAAAATCTAGACATCACCCAACATAGCAAAAAAGTAGTATTAAATTCGGAAAAACTCGCAGCTAGTAAGTGGAATATGTACGGAAACTGCTGGGAAAGCGATCAGTGAAGAGTTTCTGTTCCAACTTTCTGTGTTTCTGTCCGACTTTCAATTTTATTTGTAGTTGTAACTTTCTTTAAACCATGCCACCTCACCACGTCGAATGCACACTATAGCCTCCGTGGAGGTCTGGACAAACGATTGAATGGACACGAAAGAAAGGTTAAAGCTAAAGCTCCCGGCGTTGATCAATCCCTGAGGGATACGCCATATATTCGATCTCACTAAAAATCGTTTGAACGTGATTGGATGCATATTAGAAACTTACAATAACTCGAGGTGGGTAGCCTACCGATGTATCAAGCCAGTGCCGTTGTCCTCTTAGACAGGTCTGACACCAATCTGCCGACCTCGGAGCGATAGAAGGTGACGCGGGGCAGCGGCTTGAGAATCAATCATATGTGTATTACATAGCGCTTCCGACCACTGCACCACACACACCGTTGAAGAGACATTGTAGTCCCCAGATTCAGTTTAATGGGTTCCAGAATTTTTCTAAGTCACTATACATATCCACTTGATAGCTAGCAGAAAGTAAATCAAAGTTGTAGGCTGGAAGCAGGAAGACCCTCCATAACACTTCATGATTTACAAAAGACCTTTTCTCAGAAAAATTCATTGATCGGTAAACTGACTAACAATCTACCGCTACTTCATTTTGATGGTTACAGTTACCATATAAAAATTATGGATGTGAAATAGCAGAGTCAATACGAAGTGCTACAACACTTCCAAACAGCAACAGCAAAGCATATGAAACATAGATCATAGTTACATATAGAAAATAGCAGCACACTTACTATCCATACCGATAGAACGAGAGTGCAATGTCCCCTCTACAACGCTGTCATGTCCGAAATTCCACAAGCCGTTTAGTAATTCAGAAAGGTTTTCTATTGTCAAAAGACCACAAAGTGCACATCCGTCAACATCTGCTTTTATTCTACTGGGCGATCCATGACAAACCGCGCCGCTGCGGAATGCGTTAAAACAAAATTAGACAGCAATAAAAAACAGGCCCTAACCTGCACACATTTCAGACCTTCTCAACACACTTATTGACTATTTATATCAGAGACCATTTCTTACATCTACACAGCAGTACTGCAGCGTGGTAAAATTCACATGACATTGCACGTTATAGCAGAACTACAATAGTAGCTAGAAAACCATGCAGAACCTGACGATTTCTACACAAAACGACAAGAATTACGGCCCACTCAAAACGAGGTTTCTTTCAAAAACTGCCGAGCAATTAATTACGAAGTTAACAAAAAACAAGCCCAAAAAATAATCACGCATACTATGGTCGACTGAAAACTTCGAATACTACGTCACAAAGACTTCTCTAATGACATCCATGTTCAGTTCGTCTTAAAGGCCAATCGTGATTGCATTATCATTTACTTACTTTCATGAAACATATAAAGTCGGAAACTAAAGAGAAAAAGAATTTTTTAAAACCAACCGATATTAAACCTCGGCAAAAGTAATAAACATCTTCCTCGATCATTAAGTTAACATTAAGTTGATAAGAAGGTTTATTCGGCCAACATATAGACGCCTTCATCTTCTTCACGGCCGGATTGATCCGAGATGACAGTCCACAGGTTGTCGTCGTCCGTGCGATGTTGATCTTCGTTGCGGCACCGAAGCGAAATTTTAGCCGAATAAACATCTTCATCCCCCTCGTGCAAGTTGGAGAATTTAAACACACGCTAATTGTTTTTCTAGCGGGGTTCAATGACGGCCGATTCGAAAGTCATAAATTTTAAATATCTCACAGGAATGGAAGCATTGAACATTATGAAAATTAGGGTTAAAGGCAAACTGTTTTAATGTTAGACACGTTGCAATACACTAGAAAATACCAAAAAGTAATCACTCATGAAGAAGAACGAGGGCTGGGGCAGTCAGTCATTTAATAATGAAATCATTCCACTTGCTACCTCTTCGTCCTGCACAGCGTTATCGACTGCATCAGAATGTTCACGTTCGAGGAACTAAACGGAATATTTGACAAATACGCTATGAATACCACCAAATCAACACCTAGGAATAAACTGGCGTATTCAACGAGTTACATAATTGTAAACTTATATCACAACACGTGTGATTCCTATTTCACACCCGAACAGGCTTCCATACTGCCCCTAATCTGTTGGTGTGTTGGTCACAGGAATCGCAAACATCGTTAAATAATGTGGTGTAGGCGCAGGTCCCCGCAACATGCTAGTTGTTGCGCCTTTTGTGCTCCAAGTAGTGTGCGAGTACGAGTATATGTGATGAAGTCACCACTCGCCGAGTAACTAAGAGCGAAAACTATCATTAAAAAAACTATCCGAAAAAAACTATCAGTAACTATCATTAAATAATATCACACAACGACTTTTCATGAAGAGATGGAACGACCAAGCACAACTATCTAGGGATTCCTGTTAAATATCTCCCTCAGTGTTTAGCGCCTATCATAATAACGGTAATGTACTAACTACTTCTCCAAATAGTTCTCATTTTCCATATTTCCGCTATTACATCCACAAATGTGCCTTATACGATAATAAGGCTCTTGCTCCGTTGCTACCGTATTCTATGTTACAAGTGTACACAACGACACTCGACTACCCCACAGCAAAGCTGCTCTATTGTTACGGTCTCGCTCTCTGTTTCTGTCTCTTGCTGCTCTTGCACAATGTAGAACTTAATCCAAATTCGCGATAAGTTCTCGTCTTTCGAGATATTAAATTTTGAAAAAGGTTCCTTCCAATCTCAGAGAAAGATGGTTATAAGCACATTGCATTTAATCACGCTATGCTTTAACGAAGTTAATTTTCATAAGTGGTAGCCATCAAATGGTATGTGGGCACTATATTCTTGAAGGCGACAACAGCTTACATTTGTGAAATCATGATACCAAACGTTATAAACCGGGCGATCGTTTGCACCAGTCTAAAAGCAGAGTGGTGCACGGGTGTGGTACGAACGCTGAACGATTGAGCCTTGTTCTATGCAATCTCGAGTATTCCAGCACATTGGCTTCGAAATACGATCGTCTACGAATCATTGGTCCAACGGCCTTTGAAAAAATCCAGTTTTTTCCCTGCGGAATAAGAAAAGTTGCACTTGTCCGGCAAAGATTCATAGCCTACAATGCCTTTTACTCCAGTCAACGAAGATCGACATGAGGTGCTTGCTCCAAGTTCTAAAGCATATTTAACTAACACTATTTCAACGGTTTACAAAGAACTAAACAGTTCAGTTTTTGTACCAAAATCCACGCATCCATGGCAGTATTACTGCTTTAGATTACAATGAAATGGAAACAGCGATCAGCAAGAGCAAAACGTCCTTTCCATACACCTCAAGTGCTGCCGCATTTCAGCACACACTATGAGGTTCGAAGGTCATTCAATAATATGTTTTCGAAAACAGCGTAGTACCAAATAGGAAACAAGGCAATTTGCACTTCACTTAGAACATGCAGCATATTTAGAAATTCTGGCGATAAGCTTTGTACAATCATGCCGAGGTGCAACCACAATGATGCTGACATATTCGCAAAACGCCGAGCGGAAGGTGTCTGCGATGGGGACTGAACACGCTATTACCCCTTTTGCAGGTGCATGCGTTTACCACCACACCGTCCAGGTCCTTCGTTTCGCCTTTCTTTCGGCCAGTTTTTCATCTACCGCTGCCATCAGAATCACCCGTCAAAGGAATTGATCTGGGGAGCCCTAATCGGCACTGAATCCTTCGTTCGCCTTTCTCTCAAAGCATGTGCATTATATGGTGGTGAACGCGTTAGCCACCGGAAAGAGTAATAAAATCGCAGACACCTGCTGTCCGGAGTTTTGAAGATATCCCAGCACCATTGTGGTTGATTTCGCATAACGCCCTGTCGTGAGAATCGTAGTAGGCAGCAAGTAAATAAGTTAACATTATGTTATTCCTTGTAAATTAATTAGTTGGAGGGGCTTCAAATGTTCAAAGAGAGGCTTACATAAACAAATCAATTAGAGAAAAGTACCGCAAAGCGATGCCGTTGAACGAGATCGGGTGTTCGCACGAGCCAACTTTCAAAGCACAAGTAAGGTGCTCCAAGTCTACATTTAAGGTCTATGAATCTATGGGCGAACTGGTGAACTGATGAATAAGAACCAATGAGACTAAATCAGAATACTATCAGTGTAATGGCACGTAGCTCTTCTGTAGCTAACACTCTGGCGACGATGCCTTATTTGGAGTTTTTAGAAAGTGTATGGTCGACACCTTATTTTTCGCTGCGCTAACTGTGTCACCTATAGAGGTCACAACGGCCACTTCGGCAGCATTTGTGCACCGCGCTCCACTTTTTTGTAGTTTCCGTTCTATAAATCGGTTTTCCTCTGCGTTTTGAAAAAATCTTTTGAGGTACTCTTGTTCTACTTATTCTTCACGTTCTTCTACATACCCCACCATGTTTTTGGTGCATATGCAACTCTTGTGGATGAAAAAAACCCCTCACTCCGCTATGCAGTCGCACGCCCGTCAGCAGTTAATGATGT